CAGATATCATGGCTTTGTAAGTAAGGGATTTCTTCTCTGTCTCACCTGTCACTCAACACTTTCAGGGTGTTAATTAGGGCTCTGTGCTCCTTTTGGGGTTAACTTTCCCCCAGTTTATGATATGTGGGAGACAATTTCATGTTACAGTTTTCTAGTAAAAAGGACATGACTGCAGGCTGGCAGGGCCACCTCCCCTTCCTTCCTGTGAGAGGCAAGGTCATTGTAACTGCAGTGCACTGGCTAGTGTCTGGTGTGCACTGCTTACTGTCATAGGTGCTCATTAAATTCAGACAATAAGTGAATAAAATCATCTGTCTGCTGTTTTGATTCTGAATTTTAAAAACAGAGTAGGATTGTATATTTCAGCCAGTGAATGTTTATTGGTTTGATAATAGCTTGATGAGCCCTAGACATAGCTTTGACTCACTACTTTTACCTGCTTCTGGTCGGATATAATGTGAAAGAATAGTTGGTGGTTTTGAAAAAAAATTCCCTCAAGATAAAGCATCCCTCGCTGATACACTTTCCAATACCCTCTGAGTTCGAAAAGACCCAGTTGGAAGAGAACACGTTTTTCTGGGAGCAGGTAAGCCCTTGGGGCTGCTGGGCTGCGTGAAGGTGCCCACGAGAGGAGTTACTGTACCTGCCTTTCAGCACGCTACATTCCCCAACAACTTGTTGGGTTCATGTCCTCTTACAAGTACGGAAACTAGGGCTGCTAATCCAGCTGCTCAGATCCAGCTTCCCTCACCTTATGCCCCAAAACTCTTCCATTGGCAAGGTCTTGAGCCTCCAGACTAGAGACTGTTTCCTTTTCCTAGTTCTGCTAATAACTGTTCTGTCTTAGACCAGCTGCTTAACTCCTGTGCTCCTCAGTTTTTGTCATTAGGAGGGAAAGTGACCCGTGCCCCAGCTCATGACGGAGCTCGAGAACAAGTGGGCCTTGTGTTTCTCTCCTGTTTGCTGTGTGAGACCTGGTCATAGAGAAACCTGCCTGCTGCTTCACTGTTGCTGCTGCATCCCACCCACCCCCCCAGGGACAGGTTGGGCTCCG